AGCTCTAAGCGGGTTTGAAGTCGATACCAACTTGGGGTCCGGTAATGACTTGGGCTCGGTATTGGTTGACCACTGGCCCTTAAGCTCGATTCTATCACATCTCATCATAGTTCGGTTTGGACCCGAATAACTACTTCGAGCTCGATATTTGAACTGTCCCTGAAACTTGAAGCTCGTTTGTGCCTTCTTCGGATCCCATCTCGATATTATGAAGACTTTCTTCAGTCCATTATGTTTCGATCTCGATCGGACGTACGAAGGCCGAAATCCATTTCGACCGTATACACATACAATTACCAATCACAAAATTCATCCCCGGTTGAGATTGGAGCAGTGATCACGGCGCTAACAATTGAAGTGGCAGTGGTTTTAGCCGTGATGGTGGTTTTAGTGATGGAGGTTTGGTGAAAGTTACAACACTCTTGCTCCATTTCTGCAAGTCAATTGTTTTATAAAAGTTGTAATATATGCTCAAAATCCATTCATATGCGATTATATGTAATTTCATTTGTAAGCTGAAACTTGAATTACTACTGACCTTCAAAAGATATGCCTGACAAAATGTTTTAATTAAGTAGGGTTGAATCTTCAAAATCTTTTGAAAAAGCCCATATTTGGATCATGAATATAATTTGTAGGAGATGGATTTTGTATTCTTTTTCAATTTCAACTCGACTTGTAGGCCAAATGTCATTTTAGATTCTGGAAGCTTCGTCTAATTAAACAAGTAAGAAAATTCATTTGCCTTCTATCTACCTGGCTTTCTGAAATGAAATTCCGAGAAGGTGAAGTTCGATAACTCAGTTATATATATGACGGAGAATAACAGATGAATAATATGAATGTCAATTTTATCATTTACCCATGTGAGTCTGATAAATTCAGATTATGAACAGTTTTGTCCTAGGAAAGAGACAAAGGTTGCAGTGATATAAAGTTGTAGGATAAAAAGCCTATGCTTCTAACCGAAAACTGAATCGAACCGAAAACCGAACTGATTAAATCGAACCGAACCGAAGTTATTATGGTTCGGTTTTGGTTATTAAAATCGCAAACTGAAAACCGAATTAACCGAACCGAAATTCTACAAAACCGAACCGAACCGAACTGATCGATGCCCACCCTTACTACACAGTTTTGTGTGCTTACAAGCAAAGCAGAAAAATTGCACAAGCGTATTATTTGGTCGCCCCCATTTAACTTACACTCAGTTTTTAAATTATTTTAACTTGTATCCACTTTTTAAACAATTTCACACTTTTTTCTCTTCTTCTTCGGGTGGCAGTGATTTTATATGGTATTTGTGAATATATTTTAAAGTAGTTTATGATGTTTTATAGTAGTGAGCTGTTATTACGGTTTAGTTTTTACTATTGCTTTGGATTTCTTCTTCTTTTTCTTAATTGCAAAATGGGTTCGTTAGATTTATTGTTATTTTGACAAATTGATGATTATGGTTTGTTCTTGATGATATTTAGAGGTTATGTTTCAAATTTGAGCTCATTTGGAGTAGATTTAAATATTAAATTGTATGTTGAATTATTATAATTCGAAGAAGAAATTTCTGTTTCTGGACAATTTGCATTTCAAACATATTTGACCTTAAGTGCATGAAGACGGTTGTTGCACTTCAGACCTTTTGGCCTTAAGTGCATCTGAAGTGCAATTTTTCATTTCAGACTTATTGGTCTTAAGTGCATGAAACCATTGGTTGCAGTTCAGACCTTTTGGCCTTAAGTGCATCTGAAGTGCAATTTTTTACTTCAAACCTATTTGGCCTTAAGTGCATCTGAAGTGCAATTTTTTACTTCAAACCTATTTGGCCTTAAGTGCATGAAAATGTTTGTTGCACTTCAGACCTATTTGACCTTAAGTGCATCTGAAGTGCAATTGTTTTCACTTCAGACTAATTTTTTTTAACTTTAGACCCGATAGGTATGAAGTTGATCGTAAAGTTGGTAAGCTTGCAAATATTTTTGCAAAGTGGGTATTAGTTCAATTGTAACCCCAAAATTGGGTATAAATACAAAAGTCCTCGAGCAAGGTTTGGTCAACGAAAATATTATCATGGGAAAAGTCATTTCTGATTACGGGAGAATGTTCAATATAGCTAGCAACTGGGCCGGAAGCGCTTCTCTGTCATCCAAAAGAAAATAACATTGAACAAAATTTATTTATAGTCCATCGGCCCAAACATATATATCACCCAGTTGCCCAAAAATTACAATATATATTTTATAACCTAAAAGTAATTCTAGTGGCTTGTCCAAAAAGTACTTAACTAAGAGGCGCAGATCTGCAAAGACAGATGCGGAAAGAGAGGCAACCACGCCATGGCTGCAAAGACAGACCTCACCGCCAATTCCGCCGCTTCAATCACCGCCATCATTGACTGTTTCAACCCATCAATTATAGTTTCCAAATTCCGAAGCTTCCCCATCAACAAGCAATCCACCTCTTTTCATCTCTGATTTTAGCTTCTTTAATTTTTCCCCTTGCTCTGGTGTTAATTCTTGGCCTATTGAGTAATTAATTGTAGAAAAGAGCATAGAAGGTTTAAAACCAGCCAGTTTAAAAGAAAAAACTGTTTAAGAACATGGTATGAAAGAAATAATAAGTTGGTACAATACCCAATTAATTATAAAATAGTATTAGGCAGTACTAACTTATGATTATTTGAATGGTTAGACGACAGGGGTTAATTTTTTTTTTTCTGATGGTCTGAAAAGGGAAAGAAGGTCAAGTTTATTGGCATAGAAGGAATGAAATGTGTTTATCAGAGATATAGGCCCTTGGAATTTTATTGGTCTGAAAGTAAAGGAAATGATTGATGAAAGTTGGTAAAGCCTGAGTTTCATTCAAGGCTGAAAAAGAAGGCTTTCTTGCACTAGGGTTTTAGATATGTAATGTAGAGGACGATAAAAATATTCCAGGTCTCTCTATGTTTGTGAATATGCCTTGCTGAGCTTAAACCTGTAAGGTTCTATTAAAGCCTGATGGAAGTGTTTCAATGTCATACCTATTTGAAATTTGTTTCCTCTGTGCATGGTAAGCAAATGGTCTTAAAGAGTCAACATTATAAGCTGGATAATATGAAATATTTGTTCTCTTTAGCATTGCCTGTGGGTCTAAAGAAGTATAGCAAGGTGGAGAATTAAGAAGAAATGTATCTGCATTTGTTGCCTTGAACTTTTCTTGATAGTATTCTTGGTAATGGTCCAAAATTTGTGTCACCAATTTGCTGCTGCTACTTCTATTTTCTTCTGCTTCTTCATTGAAAACATTATATGAGGCTGAGACATCGGCATAAACATGAGTAAGAAAATGGAGACGCGTCATCGGATGGATGTTCTCCGACTGAACTCCGGCAAAGTTTTTTACTATTTTTGGGACTGATGAGAAGGGTTGTTTTGTGGAGGAGAGGCTACAGAGTAGAGAATAGAAAGAAACAAATTGCAGTATATGTTCCGACCACAGTCGACTCCGATCAATCGGATGAGACTATGGAAAATTATCCGAATATGTTCTAAACTTTGAAAATGAGAGAAATTAATGGTGAATGGAAAGACAACAAGGGATGGGGTGGAAGGTTTTAATTACACGTCATTTTTTCTTCTGATGTGCCTACATGTCACTATAACAAATATATACAAAAATAGACTGTCATTATACAAAACATATACTAAAATAGACTGTCACTATACAAAATATATACAAAATAAATTGTCACTATACAAAAATATACTAAATAGACTTCAACTATACAATTTATATACAATAGACTATCATTAAACAAAACATATACAAAATAGACTGTCACTATACTAAATATACTGTCACTATACAAAAGATATACAAAAATAGACTGTCACTATACAAAATATATACTAAACAGACTATCATTATACAAAATAGACTCTCATTATACAAAAAATATACAAAATTGACTGTCACTATACAATTTATATACAATAGACCGTCACAATACAAAATAGACTGTCACTATACAAAAATATACTAAATAGACTGCCACTATACAATTTATATACACTAGTCTGCCATTATACAAAATATATACAAAATAGACTGTCACTATACAAAAATATACTAAATAGACTGCCACTATACAATTTATATACACTAGTCTGCCATTATACAAAATATATACAAAATAGACTGTCACTATACAAAATAAACTGTCACTATATAAAAAATATACAAAATAGATATTTCGGGCTATTAGATGCAATATGTTTGGGCCGAAGGGCCATTTCGTGTAAATGAGAAAAAAAAATATTGGCTATTAAAATTTTGAGGAGCTATAGAGGTAGTTTACTCAATAACATTATGTGTACTTGTGGGAAAGCAAAACTGAACCCACCCCAAATTGAACATTATTGTCCGTAAAAAACTGCCAGAAATCTGAAAATAGGCTTTGCAGAAGGAAATAAAAAGTTGATCCAGTATTTTTTACCATATCAAGTATTCTACTCAAATGTCAAATTTCAGAACAGTTGAGCCTCCAATGGACAAAACAAACTAACAAGACAAATCGAAGTACATCGTACAATAATCAACATTAGGGACTTCACTTCAGAGTTGTATGGACATTCACTTTTAAATTGTCAAATTAATCAACTTCAACATTTCAACGGGACACCGATTTAATTATTTTCCAAAAATAAAAGTTCAGAGATTCACAAACTGCGTAGTAGATACATGATGGTGTTGTCATTTCAAAATGATACAAAGAGGAAAGCACAGAAATATATTTATTTGCTCTGCAGAAATAAAGGAATCTACATACAGTTGGAGAAAAAGAATTAACAGCTTAATCATAAACTGTTACTCCGTACATAATTTGAGGATAAAGAAGAGACCATAGTCTGTCTGAAAAGGAACTTAATCTATAATTCTTCTACGTTATCCATTTAATAGAAGGGAGGCCATAATTGCTAGACCCCTTTAAATTTTCATTTCAGAAACTGCTATTCCACCAATTTCATCCAAGCAAAAAGTCTAAAACACTTGAAACCATGGCAAAGCATGCCATCAAACACATGAGAAGTGCAATTAAGAGTCAAGTACAAGATGCTTTCTTGATATATAGCAGCAAACCAAGCAAGAACAACTTCACAAAATCTTAGCAACATAGAAGGGCATTACATACAAAGAGCAGCTACAGTATCTTATTAAGGAAACTCCACTTTAAGTTTCGCTGGCTTCAACATGTCTTGGAGTCAAGAAGAATGTGCCAAGACTTGACTCTGGTAGGTCATAACGACAAACCGTGAAGAACAAACAAATGTCAGAATAAATGAAGTGTTCGAGCCTGTCCTTTCCTCAAGCAATATAGCCAACCATCACTAGGTGAGGCTGCATTTTGTTCTCCTGAAGTTTCAGTTGCCAGAGAAGATAATTTTGCCTTCAAGTGGACAGACTTGTGAGAGCTCCAAGATGCCTTGAAACAATCCTGCGTGCTGACAAGAAGCATTATCAAGCTAGTGTCTAGAAAGACAACTTTTCCTATTTGGTTCACAACAGTAGATAATTTTTCAAGTTCCACTTTATTTTGGTCTCTCAGATAGATAGTTGCGGTCCTTATAACCTTTTGTCTATTAGCTGCAATTTTATAATGTCCATTATTCCAGTTTCCACCACTGAACCTAAGTTTTTGACATTGAACAACTTATGCAGATAGGCAATCTAGTTTACAATGAGCCAAATAGTCCTGATACAAAATATTCTGCAAACATAGCATTAAAGGTGCAGAGGTTATGCACAAACAAATTTTTAACAAGCTGTACAAGCTGTTACCAAAAAAAAAAGAAAGAATTTCCTACAGATTGATGGTTTCAGCTATGATATAAGTTAATACAAATCAGTAATCCCAAAATTAAGCTTCAGCTCGATAAATGAAAGATGGAGAAGATAGTTCAGAAAGAGAATGACCGTAGCTACAAAATAATTCAGAAAGAGAATGATAATAGCTACAAACCAGAAATCAGCTCCTTCACGAGGAAGTTTTAGCTCCACGCACTTTGGAAACCTTCGAATAGTAGAAAAAATAAATTAGCAGAGAAATCAGAGTACAGAAACTCTTCAGTGAAAGTAACATCACTAAAAGGCCAACTATTGGCAGTATAACTGTAAAAACAAATGAAAGATCACCCACAGCAATTGCCAATAGGTATTGGATGCATTAAATTGTCAATTCCAAGGATGTTCAACAAAGGTCCCGAAAAGTAAATTTATGATACCCTCACAATGGAATTCTATATGATCTATGAAAATCAACAAAATATTATACAAGGTAACACAGCGAGGAAACGAAACAAAGGAATGAAATAAGCTGACCAAAGCATAAAATGGAGACACCAGCATTAGAATTACTTTGTCCCTCTTTTTTATGCAATAAACAAGGAATTTTTCAGAATATCCATCTCTCCATTTCATATGATATACTCTATTATCTCCGGACATCTTCAGAATTTTAAGCTACTCAACTTTAAACCACAATAGAACCTTTTCTTTTTTCCTTTGAGACGAAATCCATCAGACCAGCTTTAGAGGATAATGGGCTGTCTCTCTACTCTTCATCACCACTTAGATACCAGAGCTGTTTCACCAGCTAGGATCCAAACTTGTGACATGCGGCTACCACACATCTCACAGTGTACTACCTTTGCTAACAACAGAATCTATACTTGAACTGCAACGTTGAGTTTTATATTAAGGAGACAAAAACCCCCTAGCACAATTTTTATTTGTAATCAGATGTATTAGCTATGGTAACAACTTCCAGTCGTCTTTTTTGTTATCAAACAAATGAAATTGACACACTACGATCCAGCTCTAATCCCTTTCATCATCTAAGCTCTGAACAGCAGTCCCCAGTTTCATCTTCAAGTCATAAAACTAAACTTTCCATTTTCCACCTACTGGAATTAGAATATCCCTTTAATCTTGATCCCTTTAAAAAAAACCACTTAACTCTTAAAAAGAATTTGAGTCTTAAAATCCTAACACACAAGTAAGCAATATGCATAACCTCGAACACAGTTGAATATCATAAAGCATATATTTCTATCAAAGCCACCCAAGCAATCAAATTCTGAACTGAGTAAATGACAGAGTAAAAGACAAGAGAGTTATATGCAAAGTAGCAAACCACTGAAAGCAACAAGCTATCCACATTAACAGAAATGTAAGTGAATTAAGGATCACACAGCTTTTATTTGGCACATTTGGTTGATGATCTTTCTGCATCTTGTACAGTGACCTAAACACCAAATTGTTGGATGACGAAAACCTTAGTCAAAAATCCTTAAACAACAGGCACACTACAGCACTCTCCTGCACTTTTGTCAGAACACACACACACACACTCTCTCAAACAGCTACTGTGTTTAGATGGAGAAGGAAACAGTAAAGAAAAAGAAGCAAGTGGTTCTGTACTACTGTGTTGAAATGGAAGAAGTTGCTCGCAAAAATCGCTTGTGAAACCGATTCCATTATTCTGATATTCTCCACTCGATTAACTGGAGGTTCTATTCTCGCCCCTTTATTTTGCTCTCTTGTCTTTGTACCAACTTGCTATATATGCAAATAATAAATCTTTAGTTGAGGTTCCTCTAAAAAATTTAAGTGGGTCAAATCGAATGGTAAAATTGAATTAAAAAAAACTTAAGTCTATGGAAAAAGCAGCATTCAAGAAATTCCAGTCAACAAAACACAGGCAAAATGAACAACCGTTTCCATGGGTATGAGTGGTTGGAGGACGGTTAGAATTAAAATGAGTACATGTGCTAAAATATTTCCACTCGAGTTATAGGATTAAGGTCTGTGTATATACTAGCCTCCCCAGATCCCACTTGTGGGAGTATACTGGGTTTGTTATTGTTGTTGTTGAGTTAGAGCATTAATGGAATTTAGATTCTCTTACCTTTTCTTACTCCATACTAAGCTAACAAACAAAGGTTCCCCATGTCATATTTAATTGAATACAGAGAATCAATAGATACTCTTAGGTTCAAGGATTCAAATACTTTTCTCCTTCCCTGGTGCCAAATAGGTTTCCAGGAAAACGGAGAAGAGCAATAAACATACTGATAACTATATAAGAACTTTCTTTTGCAGTGTCAATCATCAAATAACACTCACTAAAGACATAATCTAGTGTATAAAGGTTCTCCAAAGAGCCAAATTAAAGAAGCTGCTAAAAGTAAGTGAAGTCCCTCGATCCAATAAATTACTTAGTCCAACTCCTCAAGCAATCAGGAGAATGAATTGAAAATTCTACTTCTACAACTAAAATCCCAACAGATTCCCATCTCAAAAAAATCAAATCTTTCATAAAAATCAGAGATAAAACAGATTTCTGTTGCAAAGCTACCAACAATGAAGTCTTTCATAAAAATCAGAGGTAAAACAGATTTCTCTTTCAAAGCTAAAAGCATAAAGAGTGGGTATTTTACAGGAGTAAATTATTGACAAATTTCCAAGGGTAAAACTACGAGGAAACCTAAAAGAGAAAATTGATTCACGAACCCAAGAAGCTCGAAAAGAACGAAGTGGAAACTAACCAATTCAGATGTGGAGAAGAACAAAGCCAACCACACAATTTGTAAATCTGCCAATTTCAGCAAGAAAGAACAGATTAGAAGAAGAGCGGAAGGATATAGGAGTGTGGAAACATGAGTGCCAAGCAGATACATATATGTATGTATGTGTTATTATTATTATTATTATTATTATTATTGCAAAGTATTTTGATTCTTTTAAGAGATTTTATAGTTACTTTGATTCCAAACTTGAGAAGAAGGAAAAGAATTTGTTGGGTGAAAATAGAAAGACATTTCTAGTATCTCTTTAAAAAAAAATGGGATTAAGAAGAAGGCAAGTCTCGTGACTTCTCATTACTCGCCTTGTTTCAATTTTCTTGATTGACATATTATTTTTACCCATTTTTCCCCTTTTTTTCTTATTTTTCATGGCATTTCTTAAAATTAAAATAGCGCGAGTCTTTTTCCGTAAAAGGCACCTGTCTATCCGTGAAAAGATAAAAAAATAAATAAAAACGGCTTTGAATTGCACCTTTTTCGCCCCTCCCACTTTGTTGGCTATAAATACTAAGACATTTCCTTAGAATTCTTTAACTGAAAATTAAATTTTTCTTCCCATCTTCTCTACAATATAGTTTTTAAATAAAAATAAAATGTCAAATGTAATTCGCTCTTTTCTTTTAGATCGCCAAAGTTCTATAATTTAAATTATTGTTATTACAAAACAATGTAATCTGTTTTATTCTTAGAGAAATGAATCCAAACCTTGGGCAACAATGAGGAGATTAAATTTGTTAAAGGTGCACAATACAATTTGTGAGTTTGAAAATTCAATTTGATTAAATCACGTTATGTTTCTATTTATGTTTTTAACTTTTTATGAATATATAGAGATAACAAAGTTTGGTATTAGCACTGCAGCAACAACATGACTAATAGCCTGTTTGGCCAAGTTAGAAAAATTAGCTTATTTTGAGAAGTGTTTTTTGTTCAAAAATACTTTTGGTGAGAAACAATTTGTGTTTGACTAATTAATTTGAAAAACACTTCTAAGTCGCAATTAGTGTTTGGCCAAACTTTTAAGAAGTGCTTCTAAAGTGTATTTTTTTCTCAAAAGTAATTCTCAATAAAATGATTCTAGAAAAAAGGTATACTTTTTTTTTCTTCTCCAAAATAACTTCTGCTTCTACTCAAAAGCACTATTTTTCCTCCTAAAAGCTTGGCCAAATACTTCAACTTTGAAAAAAATACTTTTTTTTAAAACAAAGTCTTTTTCAGCTTGGAGAAGTTTGGCCGAACATGCTATAAATCGACATAATAAGAAAGTAAGTTGCGGTCCCAAATTCAGTTGGCGTCATTTGGTAGGGTGCATAAGAATAATGCTGAATATGGTGTATTAATATTGTTGGTATTAGTTATGCTTGCATTAGTTATGCTCACATAATTCTTATCTATTATTTGGTTTGATGTATTAAAGTATTGCACAATTTCTAAAAGAATTATTTGTTTATAAAAATACCCTCATAACCAGTACATCACTTTATCGTTTGGAAGAAACATATGTTGAGGAATGTTTTTATATGAAAAAGGTTTTAAAAAACTTATTTGATTTGTCTACTTATATTATAGTATAGAATTGAATATTTATTTATAAAAAGGAAATATGCTAAGTATTTACAATGAAGAAATTGACGGAGTATAGATATAATAAAATTACGGGAGCAATTTCAGCCTCAAGCTTTACATCAAACTTGCATTAATATAATAACATATTTTAATCAAGCATAAATTTTTAAGGGCAATTTTATCTTTAACTAAGCTAATGCATGCATTAAAAACCATTGCATTGTTAATACCATGGTTTTCTATGCATTAGTTATACATAGGATAATACCAAATATGGTATATTAGTAATGCTTGCATAATTAATGTATATGTTCAAAAAGTGTATCAAATAAGGTATTATTAATACATAAAGCTAATGCATGCATTATTTTTATCTAATGCATCCTATCAAACGACCTCTAAGGGCTCGTTTGGTGGGGTGCATAAGAATTATGTTGAATAGAGTATATTAGTAATGTTGGTATTAGTTATGCTCGTATATTTCTTATCTATTGTTTGGTTTGATGCATTAAAGTATTGCACAAATTTTAAAAAAAATATTTGTTTACAAAAATACGCTCATAACCAGTCCATCGCTTTATCTTTTTAAAAAAAATATATTTTGAGGAATGATTTTATATGAAAAAGGTTTTAAAAAATTATTTGATATGTCTACTTATATTGTAGTGTAGAATTGAATATTTATTTATAAAAAAAGAAATGCTAAGTATTTATTTATTTACTAGGGATATAATTTTATTTTCCACTTTCTTGAATTATTAGGCAAGGAAAGTTTGAATTAAAAAAATAAAAGGAAAATGAGCTGATTATAAGTGCATTCCAATACGTATTAGTAGAGTACAAATTATAAGATATAATAAAATTGCGGGAGCAATTTAAGTATCAAACTTGCATTAATATAATAGCATATTTTAATCAAGCATAAATTTTGAATGGCAATTTTGTCTTTAACTAAGTTAATGCATGCATTAAAACTCATTGCATTATTAATACCATAGTTTCCTACGCATTAGTCATACATATGATTAAATCAAATAGAGTGTATTACTAATACTCGCATAACTAATAAATTCAAAAAGTATACCAAAGAAGGTATTATTAATACATAAAGCTAATGCATGTATTATTTAATCTAATAAATCAAGTGTCGTGGTTTTGGGGTCCATAGTACAGTACCTTATAAAGAGCAAAAAAACAACTTAGCTTTCATGTCTCGTCTGAAAATAAAGCAGCACCAACCACTGATGCTCCATGTCTGTTTCTCATCGTGGAAACGAGGCTTTAGCGGGAGGATAAGAAAGCTAAGATCAAGAAAATGCTCTTGCAAAGCATGAGTGCAGACTAGGTTTTATTTTAGATATTCAGCCCAAGTAATTTAAGAACAGGATTGTTTTTCAAGTATATATAATAATGAAATGGGTACTATTAGTGTATTGTCAAGATGGAAACACTATTTAATTTATGACTTGAGGAAACTCTAGAGTATGACATTTTCACCATTGTTGATTTGGTAAAGAAGAAGTGAATAGTAACTTTGGGTTATGTAATTAGTCGAGTAATGATTTTAAGGACTTGAATAATTTCATTATGAACTCCGAATATCAAATTTGATATGAGTGAATTGTAGAAGGCTTGTAACTGAATTGTTAACCAAAAATGAAATATATTGACTTGTATATGATGATATTATGATAAAAGTCCATATTTTTATATGTAGATTGGATTGTGTTGAACGTTTGGGATGTCATTTTATTGACTATTTGAGAGGATTGGCTAGTTGTGATTGAGGTCACGGTAAGTTAAAACTTAATATTCTTAGTACGTTTCATAAACGTCATTGACTTTATAAAGGGTTGTCAAGGGTGGGGCGCCGACTGCGGGTTAGCTAGGATACTCCATATTTTCATGCACAGCTTGTGTAAGTGCTATGTGATGATATGTTTTATAAATATGCCTTATTTATGCTTTTGGAAAGCAAAACATTTTGGAATAGCAATTATTTGAAAAATTATAACAACTCGATCGATCGTTTTTTTTCCGACCCAAACTGGAGGGCCGCAACGGGCACCCGGGCGTTACACCACCACAACGTACATCAATAACCATACTAACATTTATAAATGGACCGGAAGGGACGTCACGAGACAATCTCACTAAAACATAAAGAGTACTCGATAAAGAATGACCCCAAAATGATATACAAGCTTATATACATGATATATACGGGCCTACAAGGCCATCATAACCATCAATACATATAACGTCTGTCTACAAGCCTTTAAGGAGTACCTAAACATCATAAGGTAGGGACATGACCCGCCATACCCAACTATGTACATATATGCGACCATCATACCTACCAGCTTACTAGATAACTCCGGAAGAAAGGAGCGTGATAAACTTCAGTTGAGTTGAGTCATTTATTGTGAAATATCGTCTGGATCGCTATTTGTATCAACGGGCATGAAACACAGTGCCTCAGCAAGGGATCGTCAGTACGAAATATGTACTGGATATGTAAGGTAGGTAAAGCATATAATTAGAAGATTAAATACGAAGGAAGAGTACATGAGTCAACCTGAAACTCATAACAAGCCTCTGAGGGCATACACGGTCACAATCATGCATGCATGCATATATACATACATACATACATACATATATATATATATATATATATATATATATATGTATGTATATATGTATATGCCTGTAAAAATAAAGCCACTCAACAGAGCCATATAATATAGTATCAAGCCACTCTGTGGGGCAAATAATATCATAACATAACATACCCAGCCTCGAAGAGGACTCGGTCGTACCCGACCTTAATAGGACTCAGTAATGTCAAAACTAGTTGTGGTGGTGTGCACAAGTACAATGCAAGCAATAACTTTGAAGGGCCTTATGGATCTCATCGGATTGACTCAAATTGTTATCATCCGATTAACGTTATGTAACTGTCTCTATATCAATTATCCGAGAATCAACAAGAATCATAAGAAGACATAAGATTCAAAGCCTATCAAGATGGGAAGTGGTCCCGACAAAGAACAATAATAGTCGTGAACTATAACAATATGAAACAATGAGGCTCATAAGCTTTAATCTTGAGAATAGAGTTCCTTTTGAAGTAACGACATTATAATTGTCATAACCCAACTCCCACCGGAGCCGTGATGGCGCCTAATACTACTTGATAGGCAAGCCAACCATTTCACAATAACAATAAGCTCAATAAAGTAGAACTTAACAATCTCAACATCAGAAATATCATGAAATAACTGAGAAAACAACGGTAACACTACTACAACCATCCCAATGATCTGGTGTCAACGAGTACATGAGTACAACTGAATATCAAAATACAAGGCCAAATACTCAATATAACTATCTGAACAATAAAACAATAATAACATAAATAAATGAAAGAGAACTCCAAGGTTTGCGAACGATATATTATCTACCTCGTAGTTTCCTCAAGCTAGTACCGGTGTGAACTATAGCAATGGGCGCTCCCGGAAGTACCTGGATTTGCACACG